CCAAACACTGCCAGGAGTGACCAGGAGTAACGGTCACAAGCTGGCAGAGGGTAGATTTAAGCTAGATATCAGGAGGCGCTACTTCATGGTCAGGGCGGCTAGGATCTGGAACCAACTTCCAAGAGAAGTGGTGCTGGCTCCTACCCTGGGGGTCTTTAAGAGGAGGTTGGATGTACACCCTGCTGGGGTTGTTTGACCCCAGTACTCTTTCCTGCCATGGCAGGGGGTCGGACTATATGATCTACTCAGGTCCCTTCCGACCTTAGGAACTATGAAACTATAAGCAGGGAAGGGAAGGGCTGATAATGTACTTATCACGGTGTGAGAAGAAAGAGGCCTGCACTGGGCTATCTGTGTAGGCCTTTATGCAGGCATTCTTCAAAGCCCATCACCGTCACTGCAGAGAGGCTCACTAGTGTCTGCTGGATTTGAGCAAGTTCCCTAGTGCATGTCTTCCACCCCAGGATCCTGGCACAGATCTCCTCTTTCTTTCCTGAGCTCCTTCTCCTCCAGGACTGGTTAATAGGGTCTCTCTTCTCCTGCAGGAAAGAAGGTTACATTCCTAGCAATTACGTCACAGAGACCAGGGACTCTCTGGAAATGTTTGAGTGAGTATGAGAAGTTGTGGGATTAGCTGCTGGGGCTTGTTTAAACCTAGATTCTTTTTTTAAACTTCTGAGCCCCTATGCCCCACATTGGGACAGGCTGGCTCTGCCGCTTTCTCCCTCAAAGCCATTCATGCATGAAGAAACAGAACCCAGAAGCTGTGTAGGGATGAAGATGACAGTCTTCCCCACACAGGCTCTTTCCACTCCCGGTGACTGGCATGCCTGCCCCACAATGGCCCCTATACTGGGATCTCTCCCTGATTGCTACCATATTCTCATCTTCCAGGTGGTACTCGAAAAACATAACCCGGAGCCAAGCAGAGCAACTGCTGAAGCAAGAGGTGAGCTTGGGACATTAAGTGACCTAGTCCTGCAGGCCAGTCTGGGCTGTTATTGTATCCCTCTTGGCAGTACTGGACTCCTGGAAGGAAACCAATAAGAGTATCTGCATAGTGACCTCCGTCTGCTTCTCCTCCTCCAACCTTGTCAGGTCCAAGCAAAGCTGTCATGTGCTCAAAAATGCAGTGAAGCACCAGGGCCTTCACAGCTGGAAAGGCTCTAAGAGAAGGCCTGGGGTTGTCCTTAGTGACTGGTACAAATTCTGTAGTCATTCAAAGCATCCTGAGGCTTAACAGACCAGATCCTCAACTGGTGTAGATCGAAGTTGCTCCATGGAAGTCACTGGAGCTACATCAGTTTTCACCAGTAGAAGATCTGGTCTAAATTGTTTAAGCAGCTGTATATAGCAGTAGCAGCTTTCCTTTGCAGCTGGCAGGAATATGGTTGAGTGCAAGAGAGTAGAGGCAGATGGATACTGAAAGGAAATGGTGGGAAGAGAGGGATAAACCCAGAAATTTGCATGAAAGGGTCTTATGACTGTGAAAGGCTCAGAGCACTACGGCCAGGACCAAGCATTCAATCCAAAGGCAAAGCAAAACAAACTCTCAAAATTCAGTCCAACCTGACTGACATGGGACTGCCAGCATCTGGAAGAGCAGCCCTGCCCTGCCCACTAGCATTCTGATCAGCTATAGAGATGCTTCCAGGAAACGCCTCAATGGCAAGGACTTTGCTCCCTATGGGATAGTGGTGATTCTGCTATCTCATCACATCCCATACTGGCAACCTTTCCCCTTAATTCCACTCTACAGGTCCCACTTACTTTAAGCCTTGCTCATGTCTCCACTGGCTATGCACAGGGGAGATGATCCCTACTGGATGCACATTATTGGATTCTTTGAGTCCATCCCCATGTACCTTACAGACATCCAGCCTCATCCTCTGTTCTGCATCTCACTGTTGTATATTTCAGGGGAAAGAAGGAGGTTTCATAGTGCGAGATTCCACCAGCAAGACAGGAAAATACACAGTCTCAGTATATACCAAGTCCTCTGGGTAAGTCATGTCTGAAACTGCTTTCCTTTTGTTAGGCATAAAAAGAGCAGTCAGCTGGTTTCTGGCTTGTTACTACCCCCTCATTTCAATGGCATTTCCAGACCTGTCTTACTAACTGGCTGTCACACTCTCTAGGCCCCTCCCAGAACCACTGACAGTACATATTCATTCTGCAGGGACCTGCAGGGAACAATCCGCCATTATGTGGTATGCTGCACACCCCAGAACCAGTATTACCTGGCAGAAAAGCACCTCTTCAACACCATTCCGGATCTCATCACGTACCATCAGCACAACTCTGCCGGTGAGTGACAGAGCCAGATTAAAGACAACCAACAGCTAAATACTAGTGTAAGTAGGCAACAAGAAAAATACACAAGCAAAGCACACTTCAGTTAGGATCCCATACCTGACACACATCCTGCAATGCACACACTGCTTCTATCTTCTCCTATAGAGGGAATCAGAGGGGGAGGAACTCTTCTATCAAGGTGACTTCTCCCAACAGGATGAGATAGAAAGTTGTCATGGTCTACAGGTCTATGGGGGCCCCTTCTGATGCCCTTCTCCAATCATTTCAGCCCAGCCCTTTCAAGATTTCTGAGTTACTCCCCCACCCTGCATTATTGATCAAGTCACCAAGCAGGACCACTGGCTCCACACCAGCAGCATGACACCTGCATGTTGTCCTACCCATGCCTGGCATCCCTCACTAGACCTGGTACCCTTCATTCTCCCTCAGCACCATAAGCCTTGCATGTTGTGGACCTCAACATCTGTCAGTCTACATCTCTGTGTCATCCTCACAGCATTTCCCCCTCCCTCTCCAGAGCACAGACCTTTGGGAGACCACTGTCTTTTGATCTCCAGATTCTCTCCTTAGGCAAAAAGCCCAAACCCCAGCATTAAGACTCACTGCTATAGTGCTGCAGGGAACTCCTTACCTAGACCATGATTTTCCTTTACTGCCTTGTTTAACCCCCCAGCCCCAGTGGCTGCATCCAGATGAGCACAGTCATGCAATATGTGGCACTGCAGACATCTCTATGGCACCACATACCGCATGTTCAGTTGTTTTCTACACTATGGGGGAGCAGCACAGAGGGTTTTTTTGACCCCTGGATAAGGGGTCAAAAAAACACGGAGAAAAAAGGCGGAGTGGTGCACGCACAGGCAGCACAAACCGCTCAAAAGCGGAGCCGGGCTGCCTGGAGCTGCGCTGCAGTAGAATCACCACTGCTGCAGCCCCAGGAGGCTCCCAGAACCCCAGGTAAGGCTGCTGGGGCCAGCCCAGTGCTGGCCCCAGCCTCCCCTACCCCACCCGGGGTAACTTGCTGCGTGTCACAGCACATGTGGCACGGTTGTTCCCCGGGGACAACTAGCAGCAGTGCAAGGTGCACTACTGCTAACTGTCCCCAAGAAACCAGATGTCCACAACATGTGTGAAGAACTTTGAATTCAAGCAGGCAGCAATTCAAAACTGAACAGCAAACTCAAGTGATATATGACAGTCATGAAAGATCACTTCCTCTGTTTGACATAGAAGCAGCTTATGGTATGTTTCCCCGCTCCTTGCAAATGAGGTCCCTACTTCTCAAGAACCCTGCAGGTACAAGATACCCCCTCTCAAATAGACCACAGCAATTCAGAGGAGGTAGAACAAGCCAGATAAACCCAGGATGAAATTCTGCATTTACACCACATGGAGCAAATGTTGGGTCAAAAGCCCAAGCCTTTTGAAAGCTATGACAGGCCAGATGCCAGGAGACACGAGAGGACAGACAGAGCTGGGACACAAAGCAAGGACTGTAGCATTTTGCTGATGTAGGAATATTTGTGTCTTGTTCTGCTGATGTTCTTTTCCAAAGTGTTGGGGGCAGCTGTGGTATGATGCAGCTGACCATGTTACCTTCTCTTCTGTTTCAGGGCTTATATCCAGACTGAAATACCCAGTGTCTCAATACCGAAAAAATGCTCCTTCCACAGCTGGACTGGGCTATGGTAATGGTTGCTCTTTCCCATTAACAGTGTGGGCTGATGCTGTGTCTCCCTGTAGCACTCCTGCACCTTTCACTGCAGTGTTTTACTGGGACTGGGATACAAGGACTGCTCCGCTGCCACAGCTTGTTAGCATCCCCTGAGGCAAGCCCATGTGAACAGTAGGACTGGCCTCAGCAGGCACCTGCCTTTCTTCAGATGCATGAGCCTGTCTCTTTGTTGTAGGGTCATGGGAGGTTGATCCAAAAGATCTGACTTTTCTGAAAGAGCTGGGGACTGGGCAGTTTGGAGTGGTAAAGTATGGGAAATGGAGAGGCCAATATGATGTGGCCATCAAGATGATCCGAGAAGGATCCATGTCAGAGGATGAGTTTATTGATGAAGCCAAAGTTATGATGTAAGTGGCAACAAATCCTCTTTCTTTCCTCTGTCTTTTCTATAAACATGCTTCATTTGGAATAGTTGTATCTGCAGAATTTCCTGGAGGGGGGTGGAATCCTCCAAGTTCATTCACTTCTGGACATTCCCAGTACTGCCACCTCTATTAATACCTCTCCTGCCCTGGAGGGATCACTTGAGAGGAAAGCGCATTGCCATTACTATCACTGAATCCCCACCCAACTTTGCCAGCATGGAATATCTGTCCTTGTCAGGTGTCCATCTCCATGTTGCAGTCTTTTCTGTGCCCATTTGCTTTTTCTGCAGTACACATTTCCTCTCTGATTTCCCCATGCAGGGACTTGTCTCATGAGAAGCTGGTGCAGCTGTACGGGGTCTGTACCAAGCAGCGACCCATCTTTATCATCACAGAATACATGGCCAACGGCTGCCTTTTGACCTACTTGCGGGAAAGCCGACAGAGGTTCCAGCCTTCTGAGTTGCTGGAGATGTGCAAGGACATCTGCGAGGCCATGGAGTATCTGGAGTCCAAGCAGTTCTTGCACCGAGATCTGGTAGGTCCTTAAAGAATATGAACAAGTGAGTATATGTAATTTCATGAATGTCATAATGTCCTGGCAGTGTCCTGGCCTCATCCCTTTGATCCAGTGCTACAAAGATACATTCTCACTGAGAAATTAATGGTCAGTCTTTGAGAACAAACAACAGGAAATGGTTGCTCCTGTTATCTGGGTATAGCAAGGTTTTGCACTGCTCTGATGAGGGAAGTCAGTTTCTGTGGCTGGGTTAGTTGATGTATGATCATATTTATAGTTACACAGATTAAAGATGATGAAATCAGCTTCAAATCTCATGTGATGGAATTAGTTTATTGCCACAGTGGCCAGCAAGGAAATTCCTCTCAGTTATAGGCAAGTGTATGACTATGGTGTCTTCACCTGAAGAGCTCAGGGGATTGCAAACTAACAGACTGAATCAACATAGCAAGTCTTATATATTATTTAAAATTGATTTGGTTCTTATGATTTGGGTCCAGGTTATCATGGGCTTTTGAAAAGGGAATCACGTAGTCTTCGCTGCAAACTCTCTCCATAACCTCCCTTTCCCTCCCAGAATATGTGCAACAAGTACCAAGCACCATACACAGAGACACTGAAGAAAGTACAAGATTTTGCAACCTGATTTTGCCCAGTTAGGTGTCCAGGATGAAGGCAGCCTCTGATTTCAGCCAAACAGTGAACACTGTCATTTCAACCAAATGGTGGAACATGGGCTGTATTCGCTCTGTATCCGTGCAGTAGCAAATGGAATGGATTCAAGACCTCATTTCTAAAGATGAATATCCTGCTTTGTCTGCAGTTTGTAGACACAATTCTTATGTAGCACATCTGCAGATGGACCATTTTTAACAGTCTTAGCTTGGCAGTAATGCCATCCAAGGTGCTTGATCTGTTCTTGATATAGTATTGCTGTTCAGTCCAGTGAATGGACTGAACCATGCCAGTGCTTTGAGATTGTTAGCGGCTTGGTAGCTCTTGTTAAAGACTGCTCTAGAAAATAGTTCCTTCAGGAACAGAGGACAACAGAGGGGCAAGTGGGAAGTAATTAACATAGCCAGTGCTGATCCCGTCCCCATCTCTCTGCCCACAGGCTGCTCGCAACTGCTTGGTGAATGAGCAAGGGATTGTGAAAGTCTCTGATTTTGGCCTTTCCAGGTCAGTTTGCATACAAATGCCTGTCTCCTTCCCTTTCAAACTTCCTTTCCAACTTTTACCTTCCCATCTCTTCTCTACCCATCTCTCTTCCTCCTTTTTCCTCGGTCTTTTTCCTGGTTGTTTATTTCCTGCTTTGGTCTCTCCAACCCATTCACCTGTCATGTATTTTGCTCTTCCTTTACCTTGGCTCCTCATTCCCCCTTTCTGCTCTGATTTCCTAGATGGTCATAGCTCCCTTTCATTCTCCCTCCTGTTTTCCCCTCTCCAGTCCAAACCTCCCTATACTCCCTCCTTTGTTTCCAGTCAGTCCCTTCTTTCCTTCTCTGTATTCCTTCCTTTCCCTCCTTGGCCTGTCCCATTGCTTTTCAGACAGGATTGGGAAAGGCTGATATGGCAGAGTAAGTGAATGAGAAAATAACAAGGCAACATCCCATAAGGTTTATTCTCTATTGTAGGTATGTCCTAGATGATGAGTATACAAGCTCAGTGGGGTCCAAGTTTCCAGTGCGGTGGTCCCCCCCTGAAGTCCTGATGTACAGCAAGTTCAGCAGCAAGTCTGATGTCTGGTCTTTTGGTGAGTTCAGAGGAAGACTGTGGCAATTCCAAGAGCTGTTGTTGAGGGGAGTGTTGAATGGGGCTGGGATGAGAGCTAAGACTGCCAGCAACAGTTCCAGCTGTGATCCTTTCTGCCCTGTGAACCAGCTGAACCCACTTCTGTTTGACAGGCGTTCTCATGTGGGAGGTTTACTCCCTGGGGAAGATGCCGTATGAGAGGTTCAACAACACCGAGACAACAGAACACGTCATCCAGGGGCTGCGCCTCTATCGGCCTCAGCAGGCCTCGGAGAGGGTCTATGTCATCATGTACAGCTGCTGGCACGAGGTAGGCTTCCTGCCAGCACCGCGCATCCCAGGGACTGGTGCCTATTGCAGGACGCCTCCCTAATGCTCTGCCCAACCCCTAGGCCACTGCTGCTTGGGCTCGGTCTGCCTGTAGGTCCCACCTCAACTGCTACACCAGCAAGGGCTGGGGACAGGCATCTGCCACCGTGGCCAGCGCTGCTAGAGCCTCCCTGCAGGGACATTCACCCGTGCCTGCCTGATGTGGCGGCTCCTCCTTTCATTGCAGAAAGCAGAGGAGCGCCCAACCTTCCGTGTCCTCTTGGGAAACATCCTGGACCTCAGGGACGAGGAGCCCTGAGGCGCTGCCCTCGCACCTCTGCCGCCGCCGCCCGACAGACGCTGGAGCTTCTCGAAGGGGCCGGGAAGGAGCCGCGGCTCTCGCTGGGACGCCTTTGCCAGGAGCCCCCTTAGTGGCGGCGGGGCCGCCCCGCGCGGCCGGACAGGGCGGTGCTGCCCCGCGGGTGCACGGGGCCTAGCACAACGGGGCAGCCGGAGCCCCGCGGGGCGGGGAAGGGCGGGGCTCGAGAGCTTTGTAATAAAACAATCTGCAAGGAGAGGAACCGCTGCTGCCTACACCGTGCCCGCGCCCGCCCCCGCCCCGGACGCAGCAGCCTCCCAGCGCTGCCGCGGAGACACCAGCCACTGCAGCGCTGCAGCTCCCGCCCCGCCACACGCACCCACACACATGCGCACCCAGACCCAGCCCGCAGCCGGCTTCGAACCACATCCAGGCAGCCACTCCCCTCCCCTTTCCAGCAGCCCCGCCTCGCCCCGCCCGTATCTAACAAGTCCCCGGCGCGAGGCAGAGGCTGAGTGGCGATTGGTTACCCACTGGCTACGCCCTAGGGGCGGGATCTGGAAGCCTGGGGGCAATTCAGTTGAAGCCGGATGGGCGGGGCCAAGAGCTCAGTGCGGGGTCAGAGGTGGGATGACTCGGCGCGTGCGCAATTCCGTAGCGTGATAGCTGCTGCGCATGCGCCCTCCTTGGCTGGGGCTGCTCCGGCCGAACACGTGAAGGTCGCTCGCTCGCGGCCGGGGCCGGGATGGAGACGTCGTCTCCTACGGGGTTGAGTGTCAGCGACCCACAGCTGCAGCACTTCATCGAGGTGGAGACGCAGAAGCAGCGCTTCCAGCAGCTGGTGCATCAGATGACCGAGTTGTGCTGGGTGAGCGCCGCGCCGGGCCCGGGGGGAGTTCCGGGGCAAGGGGAGGGAAGCCGGTTAAGAGTGCTCCGGGCCCCCCGGCGCCGGTGTAGCGCACACCAATCCGGGGACGCCGACCTTTGCCCTGGCGCACCGAGGGAACGAGGTACCTGGAGCCGCTGCTCCTTCGCGGGAAGGCCTGGAGGAGCCAGGCGCCGGGTCTGGCCCAGGCTCGCGGGCGTTGCCTCGGTGGATTTAGTTCTGTCTTAAATGGTGCCGGTCCCCAGACAGGTTGGTGGGTGAGAGCCAGATATTTCTCCCTCTTCCCCAGGCCACCCCCAAGAGCAAGCTTGTTCCCCTGGTAAGTGCATGCTTTGGGCTCTCGTAATTCTCCCCTGACTAGCTCTTTGTGTCTCGAGCAGGAGAAATGTATGGACAAGCCGGGGCCCAAGCTGGACAGTCGGGCAGAGACCTGCTTTGTGAACTGTGTTGAACGTTTCATAGACACCAGTCAGTTCATTTTGAACCGGCTGGAGCAGACGCAGAAATCCAAGTCGGCCTTCTCCGAGAGCCTGACTGATTAACCCGGCACCAGCTCCTCCAGCCCCTCAACGAGGAGAACTGCAAGTCAGTGGGGAGAGCAGCTGATGGGACACCTGTAGAGAACACAAGCTCTGGGGAGGCTGGCCCCCTCCTTTGCATCAGACTAGAGCACTCTGTCACCTGCCTCAGCTTTGACCAGCTACTCAGTTTTACTTAAATGCCAGTTGTGACTATTACAGCCAGGTGAGGCTGTAACAGATGCACGTTTACTACTTCAGGTGGCACTGTACTGTTCCCATTCCCACCTGTTGCCTTCCATGTACAGGCTTTGTGCTGAAGCTAGTATGTTGAGCACAACAGCTCCAAAACATCCAGCTCTGGGAAGGGTTTTGTGCATCTCGGAGGGAGTGCTCCTGTATTGGTACAAAGTGGAGGTAATGGGAATACTAATGTGAATCCCAAGTCCAGGGTTGGGACCATTGCTTTTAATGGTACTAAGTTCACATTCAGCTTCCTAATTAATCCTCTCCTTGCACCACTTCAGACTGTGCAGCCATACTGACATTTGCTCTCCAGACCCATGGGGAATGGTGTTGAGCAGAGGACAGCCTGGGTCACAAGTCTGCACCAGTATAGCTGTGTCAGCAACACTGAAAAGAGCTTGCTTGGCAATGAAAACTTTCCCAGTAACTTAGATTATGGGAAGTCATTTTAAAGCTTGTGAAGGTAAAGTCAGTCATGTGGCCCAGTAACAACTGTTTAAAGCAGAACTGCGACACTTACTATTGGCTTGCTCCACTAAGTGCATTCTCCCAAACATTAGAATAAATATGAATTGGATCAGTTTTTAAAAAAAGCGTGTCTTGTGTCTAGGGGTGGGCTGGAAGGACACTCTGACCTACCCTTTACCTTGTGTCACTACTGTTCAGTTTATTATCAAATAACTGAGGTAGAAATGGACTTGCTAATTTCTACTGTTAAACACAAGTCCTCTAGTTCCTACTAGACAGTCTAATTATGGATTCTGATTTTCTGCTTGCTGTAAAGTGGTTTAATGTATTGGTTTCCTGGACTAGATTTGTTCATCTGGTTACTAAAACAAACAGTCTAGGCCCAGATACTTTAAGAAAATTTACTGCTTTACAGAATGGGTTCAGATATCCTAAGTAGTGCTAACAGTGCAAACTCTTCTGGAAAAAAATTAACAGGTAACTTGTTCTGTGACCCTTTCATCCCTCTGAGCCACTAACCACAGGTCTGAGTGGATCTGTGCCTTTTGATCATGTTCCTATAGGAACTGGACTGGAAGTTCTGTCTTATTCCACAAACCATTCAAACACTCACTGAACGGCCTAATCCTACTATTAATTTAGTCCTTTGGGAAATCCCAAATGAATGCTGTTGAAATTTGTGTGGTTCAGCCTCTTTCCATGAAGTGTGGTGTGACATGGCAGTAAATTACACTTCAGTAGAAGGAAGCAGTGCTGCTAGTTGAGCATACCAAGTCATGTGACAGTCTAAACACAAGTACAATGTGTACCTTTTATCAGAGGGAAGAAATAGGTTTACATCTGTAACATTGTATCCTCTACTTGCCTGGAAGAGGATAGTGACCAACTGATGTCTTCCACCTTGGATGATTTTTTTCCAAGTCCTTATTCAACTGTTAGCTTGCCTAAGTCTCACTCTAGTTTCCAAAATTACAATTACAATCAGGTCTCTCTTCGTGCAAGGGTTGTGTTCCAAAAAACCCTATTGTAATTAATAGGGATATGTACCAAGTTCCCTGCTGTCCTGCTTCCTTCCCCCACAACCTGGTGTATCAGGGAGCAGAGGAGCCATGCAGAGATCTCCCTGCCCGTGGCTGCTTGTCCTGTGCTGCCCTGACAATGCGCCTCTTGCACGCAGAGCTCACAGCTTCTCCACACGGCCCCAGTGATCCCAGCCAAGCTGGGTCCCCCACCAGGCTGCAGAACCCCGGGGGAGGGAAGCAGCAGCACTGTTTCCTGCAACCCTGCTTTCCCCCCCCCCCCGGGGCTCTGCAGCCCAGCAGGTGCAACCCAGTGTGGCTGGGATCAGGAGGGCCACACAGAGAAGCTGTGAGCTGGGACCCTGCAGCTGCACGCTGTGGCCCAGGCCGCAAGCACTGCCCAGCTGGGCAGAAGCAGCCCCAGCCCAGCCATGCCCAGCTCCCTCCCTACAGGGGCCTCAATCCCCCTCTTGCCCACCACTTACCTGCTGGAGCTGCTCTCAAGGTTACTTGGGGCCACATACATTGCTGTATATGCACATGGTCCCCCCATCTCACCATCTTGCTTCTGTTTTCTCCCAGCCCCCTGCAGGCTGAAACTCTGCCAGCCTCCCACAAAGCAATTTTTTCTTGCATACAGTGAATTTCTGGTGTAAATAATGTCTCGCATATAAGCGAATTCACACAAAACAAATTTTCATAAAGAGAGACCCAAGTGTAGTAGTATAATGACTGAATGGACATAGGAGACACATCTACCTCCTCTTTCTTAGAGGAAATCCCCTACCTGATACTACACAGCTGTTATATTCTACAAGTTCACTTTTGAACACATCCAGACATCCTTTTAGAATAATGGTACACTATCCCCAGTCAGTAGAGGCGCACCAATATAAATAAAATTCATGTTCTTCATACCACTTTGTGTCATTTCAGTGGCTATTGGCATGAATATGTTGCAAGCCACACTGGCAATACAGCAAGTCTGTTTTAATCAATTATGGTAAATGGATGTATTCCCTTCCCTGCGAAACATACCAGGAAGGAGTCACACTTCACAAAAGGAACCAGATTCAAAGAGCCAGGATAGCACCACTGCAGAGTTTATCTAGTTCTGCTCTTGACTTTGACTCAGTAAATAACCTCTTACAGTGAGCAGAGAAGGCACTTTAAGGCTGTACAAATGAGTTTCTGAAACATACTAAATAATTCCATCGTTAAAACATTGAGTCACCTGTGTTGCTATAGGTGTAGCAATAACACTGCAAGGATCAGCACTTCAGAATACTTTGTAGAAGTTAGACTTTCAATATAAAAAAAATGTTTAAGGCCACCTAAAATGGTTTTTACATTCAAAAAGGGTTGTTATAATTATTGCCAGGTTGCTTCATACATCCATAAACCTATGCCTCAATAGTAGAGCAGCAACCGCGGCACATTCTGATAGAGGAACACACTAAGGAACCAGAACACACTGGTAGGTGTTTTGCCCAGGTCTTGTGTTCTAAGCACCTGGAAGCTAGTCAAGTCTCCTGGCATGATATTCAGGTCCATTACCAGTGGCAGATCACAGTTCACTCACAAACACGATGCTTGTTTACTCCCAACAATAGTTGGAGCTGGTGATGTTCATTTGAGCTTGCTACATCAGACCAAAGTGGAGATCAGTAGCAGGACTAGAAGGCTACCAGTAGCAATTCAGCGCTTCTCAGGCATCTAGTAGCGGTTGTTAAAGTTTTGTTGTTTTGCAAGCATTCATACACATTCTACTTCCTCCTCCTCTTCTACACTTTGAGAACCTTTATGGATGTCTTCTGGGACCAGAAGGGGCTGATGTAGACATGACTGGTGCCTTTCTGCCCCCCTCCAAGATGAGGTATGCAGGTCTGCCCCTCCCTGCCTTAGGAAGAGGGGCAGCAGTTCTGGGGAAAAGGACATGTCTCTGAAGGCATGTAGAAGGAAAATGCCAGAGACTATGGTGAGGAAGCCACTTATTGTGCCAATTATGTTGTCCAGGGCCATGTGTTGCCACTCCTTGAAAAGAATGGCTGAACACATCATGACAGCTGTAGTGAACAGGACATAGTAAACTGGCGTGACCACAGATGTATTGAAGATGTCCAAAGCCTTGTTCAGGTAATTGATCTGGACACTGACACAGACCCCCAGGCAAGCTGGTAGCACCCATACTAGTGGTTCTTTCAGTACTGGCTTCCCAGCAAACAGTTCTTTGAGTGCAATGCCCAGGCCCTTGACACAGGACACGGAGAGCGAGCCAATGGCAGAGCAGACCAAAATGTATACTAAGACATTGCTCCTACCATAACGAGGCCCAGCTACGAAGATGAGGAGAATGGAGCTCACCAGCACACACACAGCGAAGACGATGAATCCTTAGATCAGAAGGAGAATCATTAAGATTTGCAACATAGTGGGTAATGCTGTTATACATCTGTGCTGCACGTAACGTGTTCTGTGAACACCGAGAGGAGAGAATGGGTAAGAATGGTAACTAGAACAGCGGAGGGCTGCAAGTCAGGACTGGAGATACTAGCAGAGCTTTGTAGGCTGGGATTAAGGCTCTTCTAGTCTTTCTACACGTTGCATCAGCAGGGCCCTGTGATGAGTTGTAGCATGACCCTGGCTTGATCTGCTTGGTTCCTCTCCTCCGCAATTTCACTCACTACCCTTAATATTACTGCCCAAATCAATTCCTTGTTTCCAACTGCTACATCTCATGTTTCTATCATAGGGGTATCTCTCCAAGTTTTCCTGTGCTTTCCTTACTCACTTTGTTTTCTAACCAGTCTTCTTCTAGTCTTCTGCTGCCTCTCTCATGTACTGACAATCCTCTCATCTACGCTAGTGTTGCATTAAGATAAACTGTGGCTGCTGCTGATTCTTGCTTCCTTTGTAACTCTTGCCTAGCAATTTCATATCAAAGGGGATATATGAAAAACAAATACAGTGTGCACCTACACCATACATCTTGTGCCAGGCTTGACAATAACCACTGCTGTTATACAAATAGACTTTTTGCCTATTGCTTTTAATCTTATTTATTTTCTTGAGGTTTGCATTGCCTTAAGAAACTTCATTTTGTATTGCTCTGCAGCTTGATATAAGCGCTTGACCTTTGTATGCTGTATGTGACAGAATGGGTGAGAGTGTGTCTGTGGAAAAGGAAAACATTGGCTGGCAACTGGCTGAAGAATGCAGAGAGAGAAAAAGACCAAAACAAGAAGAATCTGCCCAGAACTGTGAGAAAACAACAGCAATCAACCTTCAAGGAAGAACATAGTGATAACACAGCAAAGCCCAGAGGACTGGATGAATTGACAAAACTATAAAAGATGGGGTGAGACGTTTCGAATTTGGGTCTTGTTCTGCATGTCATCCTGGAGCATCGGTTCATCTAATGAGATGGACCAGCAGGAGCCCGGCTCCTACTCGTGATCAACTTGACTGGCCACTAAGCTGATCCGAGTACTGGGAAGACTGGTAATGTATACCAGCGCGGAACAGGAACTGGGGTATGAATGTGGTGTGCACGCATGCGCACACTTAATAAACCAGGCATCTTGCCTTATCCTCTCTTATAAGGTCTTGCGCTTGATTTGAGCAATTGGCAATTCGTGTAACACTGCCTCTCCACTTGGTGGCAGAAGCTTTTACACACAGTCCCCAAAACATGAAAAATCCAATTTTTAAGTAACAAGAGTCCTACCAACCATCACAGAGAATATTTCTTTCGACTGGGTATAGAACAAGCAGGAGGAACTGATTACTGTTTAACCTCCCCAGTCTAGACAAGTAATTCTGCCATCTCTTATAAAGAGGTGAGACGAACACTGTATCTGGGGTACCTGGATCTTTAAGCTTCTCTGCCATTGATTCCAAGCTGGATACTTCCTCTTCTTGTGGAGCATGGATAACCATCACTGTAGAGCCCAGGATACTTAGGATGCAGCCAATCTTCCCATGGATGTTCAGTCGTTCATTCAGAAAGGAGGATGACAAAACCGCGCTGTAGGATTGAAGTCAGAGGATGGAGTATTTGAAGAAGAGGATAAAGTGAGGGTAGAGAACTGTTTTCACTGGGAACAGCAAAGGCATTGGTGTTGCTTTTTCTGATGGTGCTCACCTAACTAGAACACTTAATGCGCCCAACGGTGTTACCACTGTTGCTGGAGCAAAGGCATATGCAGCAAAATTCACTGCTTCTCCAATTCCCACTGCAAGACAGAGGACAGTCAGTCACAGGAATGCAACTTAAAACAGAGCAAGTTTGACAGAATATGGGTTTGGTTGCACACAGTGCACAATCAGTCACCGAACAGAGGTATAGTCATCACCACCCACCTGGATTTCACTGACCCCACCATTTATTATCCACAGCTATGTAGTCAAACGGTCTGATACAGACAAAGATCAAACATATCAAAGACAAGCCTCTAATTTATATATGGGAACACTGCTAATCAACAACAGAGAAAGGAAAGATCAATAGTATTTGTAAAGTTCAAAGGAGTTGTGGAAAATTGTATCTGCTTAATTTGCCTTTGTGTGATAGGAATGGTTTTACAGTTGGTAGACATCCTGCAGCATCTGTTAGCATCATATTAGTGAATTACCATAAGGCTCTGGCTGAATTCCTAGCAACATCAGGAATTGAGGAACTGGCTATGCACAGGTTTGACAGGATTTGATTTTTATTGATAGACATCCATTTCACCTGACACTGATAGACAGAAAAATATTTCCATCGGTAATTATAAAAAAAATACATAAATTTTGGCATGGAGGTATGGAAATGTGGGGCAGGGGGCACTTCACACACGCACACCAGCCACTGTGCCGTTAAGACTGTGTCAAAGGTAGCAGAGCTGCAGGGGCAGGGTTGGTGGCAGTGAGGAGCCCAGTACCACCAACCCCTAACTGTGCCCAGCTGAGAAAAAGCCAAGTCCCACAGAGCCTGGCCTCTGTGGGAGTTTGGCCCCTGCCTTGATCACCCAGGGGTCAGGCCAGGCTCCTCAGGAGTTTGCTCCTTGCTCGGATCACACAGGGGCCAAACCCCTGTGGAGAGCTGACCCAAAAAACACCCCTAAATTTGGTGCAATCCTGAAAGTTTCAAATCAATAAAAAAAAATCAGAATAAAAAGCTTAAAAATAAACATGGATTTTAGCCATCCAAATAATAATAAAATCAAATTCTGCCAAGCCTGGCTATGCAGGTACAGTGATTTCCATAATTACCTAACATACTATGCAGTGTGAGCAAGCCATTTTGGAAGTTATTGTGCCGTCTGATTTACCCATGATTTCATTTACAACACTTAAAAACATGCAAGATTTTAACATGCAACACAGCTGTGCTTAGAAAGGCAACGTTACCACAGTGCTCAGGGGTAAAGTCAGGCAGCTGAACCTTGATTTGACAAAGGGAACATGACAATAAGGCAAACGAGCAATCAAAACTTTAACAACCGTGATCCTGACATCACTTGCTGACAGTAGTATCAAGACTGCTGGAATCTCCTGAAGCGCAGAGCCTGCTCGACCAGCAGGGATGTAAGACTGGAAGGGACCTCATGCAGCTGCCTGGTCCAGGCCCTGCTGGATCCATCCTGGCCAAGTGCCTGTCTGACCTGCTTTGGGCAGCTTCCAGGAATGCAGAGGCTTGGCTTCTCTGGGAGCCTGTGCCAATGCTGAAACACCTTCAGTATTAGAAAGCTCCTAATTTGCAGCCTACGCTTCCCCCGCCGTTGGTCCTCAGCCTGTCCCTGCAGTCCCAGAGAAGAGCCACCCCCATGGCCCCGCAGGCAGGTGAACACCGTTATCTCCACCCTCGGGCCTCCCCGCTCCAGCCTCCTCACAAGTGTCGCCTCCCCTCCCGGCTCCCGCTCGCCTCCCACGGCGCAGGGGAGACCTCCCCGACCCGGCAGTGCGCGCGTCACCGGAACTGCCCGACTGGCGGGCGGGTCGCACTTACTGCATAGCAGCCCGGCCCACCACAGCCACTCACGCAGGTAGGCGTGGCCTCCGTGCCCTGCAACACAGCGGGGGGTGGGGTCAACGGCCGCCGAGCCCCGCCCCCACGCCAGCACAGCGCTTCGCTAGCACCCGGGCCGCTCCCGCCCCGGTACCTGCGCGGGCGGCGCCGCGAGCGGCCAAGCGCAACAGCCCCTTCTTCTTGAGGACGAAGCTAGCGCCGATGCAGCCGCAGGAGCCGAGCGCCAGCCCCACTCCCAGGTAGAACTCGCGGCGCCCCCGCGCACCCTCCATCGCTACCCGGCCCGTGACGTCATTCCGGGGAGGGCGGGGCCGCACGTGCGCGGGCTCCACCAGCCTCCGGCGCCGCAGGGGGCTCTTGGCCCCGCCCCCCTCACCCCTGGAAGTGACGACAGAGTACTGCGCCCCTCTTTCCCTCCCTCCCATGCCAGTGTCGCGGACTTGCTCCGGCCCGTCTGGCCTCGCCCCCCTCAGCCTGGTCCCGGCCCTCTTCCGTTTCCGGCGGGGTGGTTATTCCAACCTGCTGTTAGGAATAGAACTGCCCGGGTGAGTAGCGGGGGCGGGGCCAGTGGGAGCAAGGGCTTGAGCCTGCCCCGCGCGCTGCTGTGGGGCTCGTTTCTGAGGTGCGAGGGCTGAGCTCGTTGGGGCAGCTCCGGCTGCCCACGCGGGACCTGCTGCTCAGACCTGGTGGGCTACCTAGGTGTTGGGAAGAACGGGCCCTTCGCTCAGAAACGCCCTTTCCAGCAGCGTCTGTTACCCATTGCCTCCGTGCAGCCAGGGGGCTCTTGGGGTCTTGTGTTGCCCCAGGGAGGTGAGAGCTGAGCAGCCCTCTGGGTGCACCTCAGTCTCATTGCTTTTTTCTGAACTCAAGAACAAAAGATGAGCAAGAGCAAGGACGACGCTCCCCATGAGCTGGAGAGCCAATTTGTTCTGCGCCTGCCTCCGGTAAGAGATGCATGGGCTAGGGCTGAGTTAAAGATGCCATGGTGGGAGAGGTCCCATGTGAGGTTGGCACCAAGCTCCTGAGAGCCCAGCTTGGCTCCTGTTTGCTGGAGTTTGGTGGGTGGAAAGTGCAGTTTGTGGGGAAAGAGTTTCAGGAGACTGAAACTGATGAGAATTCTGCAGACTCTGGGGCAGAGGGAGAGTGAATCCCCTGTATCATGTATCCCTTATACCTGGTGCTTCTGCAAGATGTATTTTGTGCTCTGCTGCTTAGACCTTGTGGAATAAATGCCCTACAAAGCACACCAAAGCATGCATAACTGCTGGGTCACTGCTGCTGACCAGTCCTGTCAGTCCTTCTTGGTGCAAATAATCTTGTTCAATAAATGCTTTGTTTGGGGGGTGCAGGGGAAGCCTCTCAAAAGACCTCACAGATGCATCCCCTTTGACTAACAAATGAATCCTTATAGGTACAGCTCTTTAACTTTGCCTTGACCTGTGATCCTGAGAAGGGCATCTCATGTTCTATGAAAGTGTTGCTTGGCTGCCTTATCCATGAAATGGATGTAAACAGCTGATAAAAACCCCATCTGGTTCCTGTTTTCCAAGCGACCGTGTACCATTTTCAAAGTGTGTTAACTTGTGGGCTGTGATGTGCTCTGGGAGCAATGCTGTTACCATTTAATGTGTGGCCTCTTCGTTGGGTTTCTGTATTAGGATGACAGCCTGGTTTAAAGGTGGGCATGTTTGAGAGCAGCTATGTTTCCCAGAGAGCATACACAGGTCTTGTCACATCTCACTCATTTCTCTCAGGAATATGCCTCTACTGTGCGGAGGGCGGTTCAGTCTGGCAGTGTCAACCTCAAAGACAGACTCACCATTGAGTTACATCGTGAGTATGCAAGATGAGCTCCTCTAAGGGAGGAGCAGGAGTACTGGAGGCCTCAGAAGAAGGGGATTTAATGTGCAGAGTACAAAGGAAGAAGAGCCTTCAAGGTTTTGCTCATCACACAGGCAAAATGTTAGGGAGGGAGCACTCAGCTGTGCTGCACTGTAGAATGGCCTTCCCAGCAGACTTCTGGTGAGGGTGTCTAGTCTCTAAGCAGGAACTGTCCTCAGACCGCCCCTTGGGAGCCCTGGAGACAAAGCTGTATTTTACAGCATGTTAGACAGCTCAAGGCTGCATAGTGCAAATAGCACAGGATAGAGCTGAAACCAGCAGCAGTATGACTCTAGCACAGCACTGTGCTTCAGCTAACCAACACAAGCTTCTGTGCACTCCAGGAAACTTAACTTCCTGTCTGCCTTGTGTACTGTTTCCCAGAGAGACTGACCTGGATATTTGTGATCCTAAAGAGAAAATGGTGTTGGTTCAGGGGATTTGTGATTGCATGGGTAAAGCTGATCTAAGGAGCAAGGCCTTGGGCCTTTGATCCTGGAGGATATACTGATACATTTTTTCACCATTGCTGTATCAGCAAATTCCCAAATCTGCTGTGGAGAAACCAAAAGCAATTGGAGGATACAACCCACAGCTATTTCTCTGCTTCAAGGTCAGGCCATGTCTTCTCAACTTGTTGCAAAGGATGTCTTAAATTTAACAAGAAAACCTGACAGTTTATTGCACCTCCAGTTTGCAAGAAAGTTTTAGGAGTTTCTAAGCAGTGGCCCAGGGACAGAGCATGCAGTCTGCCCATCCAGCAGGGCTGCCCACACCATTAGTTTGTTCGTTGGCTTTTTGCAGCAGATGGACGTCATGGGATTGTCCGTGTGGACCGTGTCCCTCTGGCTGCCAAATCGGTAGACCTGCCCTGCATCACTGAGAGCTTAAAAACCATTGATAAGAAAACGTTCTACAAGACAGCAGACATTTGCCAGGTTTGTATGGCTAGCCCTTCTTGCAGCAGTCCTGTCCTCTTTGCTCACCCCCTCTTTTTGGATTCACCAGTACCACATGGCATCAACCCTATGATCTCACCTTACAGTAAACTTACTTGTGTTTTGGGGGACTCTAGATGCTTGTGTGCACTGTGGATGGTGATCTCTACCCTCCTCTGGAAGAGCCAACTGTGAGTACTGACCCCAAGGCAAACAAAAAAAAGGACAAGGACAGAGAGAAGAAATTCATCTGGAACCATGGCAGTGAGTAGAGGAGCTGCAACTTTATCCTATGCCAGCCTACTCCCAGGCTCATACTGTCCCTCCTGCCCACCCTTAGTAGTACAGGCAGAATCTGCCATGCCGTCTTACCCTCTGGACAGGTGAGAAGTATTTCCTCATCTCATCATTTCTGAGAGAGCTGCTGCATCACTCAGACTCACTCCATTCAGACTTACTGAATTTGCCACTTACGTGACCTTTCCCCTTGGTATCCACTAGCACACATGAGCTGTTTCCTTTATTCCAGTTACTCTTCCACTGAAGAATGTAAGAAAGAGGCGATTCAGGAAGACAGCCAAGAAAAAGGTGAGTTGTGTCCATTGCAGTGCCATGTAGGTGCCAGCAACCATGCTTGGGAAAGGGAGAAGCACTCAGTGCTGGGTCACTAGCTTAGGACAGGGCTTTCCAGATTCCAAGTGATAGGAGACCACATACCCTAGGGTTGCACTTGTGCAAGCCGTAGGCCTCCAGACTGCATTGCTGCATCCTCCCAACATGCCTCCCCCTCCCCTGCCCTCATTGCATACACAGTATGCCCCAAAACATGCATCTCTTTGCACTGCACATATGGGTAGTGCTCACATCTGCTGCTGCACTGCAGGCTGTCCCAGTGCCATGGGCTGCACCACCCTTGCCCCTGGGGGAAAAGCAAGGAACAAAAGCTGAAGGAGAAGCAGGAAGCCTAGAGCCTCTGGCTGCAGCAGCAGCCAGAGCAATAGAAGAAGCAGCAGCTGGGTAGCAGCCCAGGAGCTGCATGTTATCACCAGTTGGATGGCCCTGGCTTAGGAACTGGTCTTAGTTACAAATCCCTAAAATATGGGGCTAACTCAGGGGTGGGTAAAATATGGCCTGTGGGCCAGATCCAGCCTGTGGTAGGTTCCTTGGCCCTGCCTAGCCCAGGTGTAGGCAGCAGCCTAGGCTATGGCACATGCAGATTATCCTGCTGCCCTAGGTACACAGCAGGCCTGGGATGGCACAGCAGCTAAATTCACTTCCCTGCAGTCTTTGCCATTGTTGCTGGACCTGGCTCTACTGCCTGGGCACCCCGTTCCTTCCACCCCACACCTACTTCCAGGGCGTTGGAGGGAGTGGGTGGGCAGGGTCTCCAAGGAGACCAGCCTGGGACCCACATGGACAGGGCATGCTCAGCTATGCAGATGGACTAAGGCTGCAGGCGAGTGGGGAGTGGCTTCTGGGAGCAGTATGGGTGGCTTGGGCCAGGACTGGGATCATGGAGCTGTAACAGCATGGGGCTGGGGCCTGGAACAGTGCTGCGATTTGCTCCCCACAATCCCTTGCTCGTGGAACTGGCAAATGGGGTAGAGCCACTTGGAGTGCTGACCTGGCCCACAACAGCTCACTAAAACTTCCTAAGCAGCTTTCTAGCCCAAATAATTGCCCACCTCTGGGCTAACCAATTCTGTTCCGCACGTCACTGGGCATAGATCAGAGGGGAAGAGAGCTGAGATGTTCTAAGTCTTCCTTGGCAAGAGGTCTGAAAGGAGCTCCTGGAGTAGAGGGAAATCCTGTCGTGCAGAGGGGAATGGACTCTGGCGCTCTGTCCTGCATTTCCTGCACAATGTCTCTTCCTTTGTTTTACATGGAAATAGTCACATGGAGATGAAGAGTTTGCTTGCTTTTGCCCTCTTGCACCTGAAATCCTAGTTCCTTGTGTATGCAGTATTTCCACAGCTACATGCTGTGGTGCAGCATACAGGAGACTGACTTCTGATAGGGACCTGGGAGAAGTTGAACCGTCAAGGTTATAACTTCATGCAAATGCTCTTATTAATAAAGGTCTGTGGAGCAAAAAAGAGCTCTGCAAAGTGGCTGATGTTTGTATCACTAGGCTGGATGGATTTGTTTTTCTGCTTTGCATTTATTTCTTCTCTCAGACACATGATGGAGCAATGTTACATTTTGATGTTAGGGAAAACCAGTCTCTCAGAACCCCTGGTCTCGCGGAACGTTCTTGCTTTCCTGTAGGAAAAAGCCTAGTGATGCACTAGGGCTCATGGACAGAGGTGATATCTCTTATTAGACCAACAAGATTTTTGCAAAAAATATTCTTTAATTGCAAGCTTTCAGGTACAAACACCCTTCATCAGGAATCTTAGAAAAGATTGTAAAAGTTCTCCTGCGTAGAAATTAAAGTTCATATTTCATAGAATTTCACAGGGGGGTCAATAGATGGAAAAACCCTCTGGTTAATTTAATAATAAAAAGTGAAACCTTGTAGGATTGTTTAGTTCACTTTAGAACTGAGAACAAAATGGAGGGGCGTTTCATGGACACCCCAGCCACAGCACGCCAAAACTCCCTAGGTGGCTCTATCCCATTTGCCAGTTCCACAGGCAGGGGTGTGTGGGGAGCAAATCGCAGCTCTGTTCCAGGCCCCAGCCCCTTGGAGGGGCCTTTCATAAATGCATTCAGCCTCAAGCACCTGACATGCCACATAGATTGGTTTCTTAAGAGGTACTTGGGAGTGTTCCGAGAGGAGCTGAAGTCAGGCCATTGAGGGTACTCGGCTTAACCCAGAAGCTTTGAGGAAGAGGAAGGGAAGATGGGATGCTGACCTGAGGCAGGTAGTGTCATTGGAGAGCTTGTGAGGGGCAGGAATATGCTAATTGACAAGCAAAGAATAAGATGAGGTAAAGTACTGGGGGGTAGCCAGAGAGCAAGAAACCCCTGAGCCAGAACTGTCTGCTCAAAGATGTCTGACAATATCTCTGCTCCATTCTCTCTCCCTTGCCCAGTACATTGAGTCTCCAGATGTGGAAAAAGAGGTGAAGCGGTTGCTGAGCACAGACGCTGAGGCTGTCAGTGTCCGTATCCTTTCTCGGGAGAAACCCTGCTGAACAGCTTCTGAGGGGGGCTAGAAGGAGCTGCCAGACAGAGAAGTTCAGCCTGTTGCACACATGGGTAGTAAGAGCAAACAGAAGCTGAGCAGATGACAGACACTGAAGTTTAGAGTTTTACCTTTAGTCTGTTCAAAACCTGCTGCTTCTCAGCAACCTCCTCTTGGCATTTGTCACAGCACTTTGCGGGTAATGTCAATGCATTTGCAGCTGATGCTCCCGACAGTACAATAACTTGCTGTAATATCTGCTGAGAAGAGGAAATAAGAGATACCTGAATGGCCAGATTGGCCAAACCTGGGTGTCTGTAACAACTATGCCCAGAATTAGAGGGGCTTGTTGAAATATAGGATGGAGTTACCTACCCCTGGTGTTGTTTTAACTGGAAAACCCCTGGATGTAGCTGCAGGGGTCTCTCTGCAGTCATTACCTTTTGTTGTTATCCCTTGACTCTTGTGCATCTGCCCTCAGGCTGGGAGGTCATTGCTGAAGATGAGACAAAGGAAGCAGACAACCATGGTTCACTCACCAGTCTGGACATCTCCTCTCCGGGGATGTCTGGACACAAGCAAGGCCACGGCTCATCAGGTACATTGGAAGAGATCAGTGCTTAATTTAGCAAAAGTATTTACCTGTCAGGTGGCAGGGTCACCACCTGCTGTTGCACCCAAGGATGGCCTCAAACTGGAGAGCTGACTTGATTGTATGAGCAGAGCTGAACACCAAGGCTGCATTCATTGGGGTGAGAGAACTGGCACAGTACCCTAAGTTTCTGGAACAGATATGCATTTGCTATAACAGTATCTGTTTTATAAAAGAGGAAAAATAGATCTTCCTTGGTCTTCAGTTCACCTACTTCTGGTCCATTGGACCTGGGTTAGAATTTCCTAATGAATCAAAGCAAACTTAAGGAAGGTGGAAGTGTATTTAGATAAGCATTCAGTACAGAGCACTGTTCCTGAAAGCCAAGCATATGTGGCATCTTAGGAGAGACTTGTAGATTACTGTTGAATCCAGTGCACCTTCTTCAACTATTTTCCTTATTTTCCTTCTGTGTCAAACCACTAGAACATGATGAACTGCGGGAGATCTTTAATGACATCAGCAGCAGCAGTGAAGATGAAGATGAGAGAGATCATCACGATGACGAAGATTTGAACATCATGGACACAGAGGAAGACTTGGAGAGGCAGTTGCAGGACAAGCTAAACGAATCCAATGGACAGCAACAGGAGAGTGAGGGAACAAACCAGATTGGTGAGTCGCAGGGCAGTCTGCAGCCAGGATGGGCTGTTTTTGGTGTGCTGAACCTGGACTTTTCCCTTAGTGAATCAGCAGTGTGTCAGGGTGTGGAGGACTGCTATGTGATTCTGCTTGTGATACAGTTCAACTGTGCTTATGGACTGGATCTGCTGTAAGTCCTGAGCTCTTTATCTTCTAGCCATGGGGATCCAGAAGCAGATTGACAACCTGAAAAGTAAACTCCAGGAGACCCAGGAGCGGAGAAAGCGCCAGGAAGATCTCATTATGAAAGTAGAGAACCTGGCTCTCAAGGTAAGTGCTATCTGGTCCTGGGGACCCTCTTTCCTATGTGAAACTTGTGTTCCTCAGGAGTCCCAATCAGCTAAGTGGAGGCTGTGCAGGCTTTGACTCTTAACAAGCATCAACCATTGTCCTGGAGAAACCAAAGTCCTTCCCTTTTGTGGAATTAAGATTCATGTGCCTATAAGGAAGTGTTCCAGCCAGCCATGTGACTCAGCTGTGACTAATGCAGAATAAGCCACAAACGTGCGGCAGAAGATAAAGGGTCTTGAGACCCATGCTGCACTCTGCTCCACATACAGCCTGTCAGATTGCAGGGTGTTGTTTTGTTCCCATTGGCTAAGCGGTCCTTGGTGAGAGCTTTAGCAATCATATTCTGGTTTGTCACTTTCCAGACCCGTCTCCAGGCTGTGTTGGATGAGTTCAAACAGCAGGAAGAACGAGAAAAGCAGCAGGTAAGAAGACCTCTATTATTGACCCTTTTGTATCCTTGTAGAAGAAAGTGACGTGTCATGCTATGAGATAACACTGAGCCATACTTGCTTAGCAGGAAGTGGCAAGTTGCCTGCTTTTCTAAGAATTTCACTGAAAGCACTCCACGTCCTTCACTGTGCCACTTCAGGCTCTGATCTCACCAGAAGCCATGAGCGAAGCCCGGTTGTATTTGATCAGGAGTGACTGAGAGACCTCAGCTATCTGTAGGTGCCTTGATAGACCAGTAGTTTGGTGATGCAGTTGTCTGGGAAGTGCTGTACAGCTATGAGAATGTAGTTAGCCTTTTGGTCTGAGGAGGAAAAATGCAAGGACTTACAGCAGTGTAATATCCCTGTAATAGCTTGTGCCTTTCTCTCCCAACCCTCTCTCCACAGCTGGTCACTCTGCAGGAACAGCTTGAATCCCTGATGGAGAAATGAGGGCAGAAGCTCCCTGTACCTCTGGGCAAGCAGTGTGCTGAGCCAGAAGCTTCACCCATGAGTTTAGGAGTCACCTTTGGTGCCAAAGCCCTCAAGTTACTGCCTTGACCTTGCCAGACTTGGTTGATAAGTGACTCTTGTTCATGCTCCTGGAACAGTGTTTCTAGAGCTCCTGTCTCCATTCTGGACAATGCAGCCAGCCCCCTAATGTTGAGGAAAGGAACTGACCTGGGGTTTGTTCCTTTACAACAGATATTCCTGGTAGTTTAGCTGTACTGACAAGGGCTATCAAGAAAATAGTCTCATCCATTTCTTTCTAATTGGAAGCTGTTTAAAACTCTGAAGCATTTTGTCAGAGGGTCTCTGCTCCCTGATATTGCTCTGGGTCTTGTCATCTGTTGTTTCCAGAGTCCTTTGGGATGCTGCTGAGAGGGTGGCTGTGCCAGCCAAGCAATGGGCATGGACTTCCCAGCATTGTGTGTGCCTGTAAGGACAGCCCAGACAGCTCACTACAGAGTGGCTACCCTACCCTCACCCTGAAAACCAGTGTTACCTGAGAAGTTTGCACATGGGTTTAGTCTTTAGTGGACTTTAGAAGTGGAGCTATTCTGCTGGCATCTTGTTCCTGTGCTGACTTTAAGAAAAACAACCAATAAAGCATGTTTCCAACTCAGTGTGTCCCTTAATTCTCTTGTCTCCAGAACTGTCCTGCAGCTGGCAAGCTCCCAGTGTTGTCTGGAGCTGGCCTGTACATATTGCTCTGTGATGGTGTTCTGATGCCACTGTGGCTTGGCCAGACTCATAATGCTGAGATTGCTCTTGCTTGGTTGGGGATGGAAAAGGAGACTAGCTAGAGAGAGAAAGCTCTGTATACAAGAGCACATAGAAACTGCTAGAAGATTAATGGAGAAAGGAGGGGGGCAAGGACTGCAGAAAGAATGGAACCTTCTCTAATCCTGGCAGATCAGGGAGGCAAATCTGAGATTAACCTAGCAGGGTGGGAAGAGGATTAGAAAGGCAGCTCCCATCTGCATCTGTCAGAATGCATCAGATGGTATTTGGGGACAGGAAGAGGGTGTGGCATGGGCTTTTCTGTACTGTAGAAAAGGCAGCAGTGAGGCAAAGATAGATGGGTAAGGAAGGATAACAGGTAACAGCCCCCACCATTCAGGGGGGAGGCTTACTGCATATAAAGACCCATGGTCCTGAAGGGCAGAAGAAGTTGGGACTCTCAGGGCAATGTTGCAGCCTTGAGCCAGCTAGGAGGTATTGAAGGCTACTGAGATGAGACCAGGGGGTTGGGCGAGAGAGCTCCTGTAGGCAGGAGGTGAAGGCACTGTGAGGAGAGCTGTAGAGAGAGAGCACAGAACTGTGTGTCCAGTCCACTTCTTCAGGGGAAGACCTGCCTGCATTATAATGGATGCAATGTACCTGCTTAACGTGCCCGGTGTCAAGAAGAAGATTTTGCACGGAGGCTGTGGGCAGCTGCCAACATTCCAAGATGGGAGCAAGGTAACCGCGCAAGGGGCATCTCTGCTAGCTAAGAGGTGCCAGAGCCGGGCAGGGCTGTCCCTACCCCTAGAGCAGTGGGCAGTGGGAATCCCTAGCAGCCCCTCCCTACTGCTCTGCTTTGAGTGGTGACCTAAGACGCTTACTACTACAGTCTACCTGCTCCAGGGCCTCTTAGAAGTGCACATGATTAAATCAGAATCAAACCCAACACAGGTGAATTCTTCCAGCCATTCAAGATGGAATTAAAGGTGTTTACCAGGCAGCAGGTATCTCACGCTGCTCTCCACCTGGGCTCTGGTATTCCAGCTGTATTCTGTGTGCCTCCATCATCAACAGCTGCAAGAGGCCAAGCAGTTGGGATTCAGCTGACAGTTTTGTTGCTATAATCCATCATGGTCTGGAGCTCCATGAATTCACTGCAAACAGCATAAAGGTGTTTGGCAGTGACATCATCCACCCAAATACTGTACCCAGGGGGATGACAATGGGTGTAACAGTACCACTTAACTGCTTTCCAGCAGTGGGACTGGAGGAGTTACTTGGCTATTAGCTTTCAGCATCCCTGCTGGGAAGTTTGCACCAGACAGATGCTGGCAGGGCATTGCTGAGGGACCTCTTGCTACTTGTCTAATTTGTGTTGGGCTAAAGGGGGCAGCCACAGACAGCAGCTGGGCATGGAAGAAGTTAGCATGGGGAGCATCTCACAGACTCTAAGAAAAAGGCAGGAGGTGCTCTGTTTTCACTGTACATGAGGGGGGGTGGGCATGGTGAGAGAATTTATGCTGATCTGGATGCTTGTGAGCCTGTCTCCTTGAGGGCAGGGTGGGGGAGGAGAGGAAAGAACTACCTCAGTGCCCCGGGACTGACCCACTCTGCCCTGATCTCTCCCTGAGGCAGATCACGTTCCATTTCCAGACGCTGAAAGATGACTTTGAGCGCACAGTGATCGACGACAGCCGAGAGTCTGGTATCCCCATGGAGATCATCGTGGGAAAGATGTTTAAGATGGAGGTGTGGGAGACGCTGCTGACCTCCATGCGCATCAGAGAGGTGGCAGAGTTCTGGTGTGATGCTGTTGTGAGTGATGCACCCAGGCTTCAATTCCTGAGACCCACCACCCATGCCAAAATTCATGTGTGCACATACACACACACAAGCCCCATGAGCCACATGGCTCTATGCAGCCTGTATGTAGGCAGGTGCGCATCCACCTCCCTTGGGTTCAAGCAGGCCCTCAACCCAACCACCAGCCTTTCACTAAGCAGTGATAGTTTCTCTGGGGACTTTAAGTGAGGAGCCCAGGTTAAGGCTGCCCAAGCCTAGCAGTCCACCAGGCTTGCATGGTCCAAGTGTACCAGTTCCTACTGCCAAAGGCACACAAGGAAGTGATGTGGTCAGTACCATCTGCTTGCCCTCTACCCCGAGAGTGCAAATGACCAAGTACCCACTGACAGTTGGATCATCTGGGAGCAACTTGCAAAGTGAGGCTTCAAGTCACCCCTGGATGTGTACAGATACATCATACTTGCTCTGCTAATGCACCTGGCCCCCTCAGGGATCATAACATGGGGCACAGTGGAGGCTACAGTTCAGCAGACTAGGAATTAGCTTGGAGAGGAGGGGATCTGTACAGCCATTTTCATAGCACCCCCATGCCTGTGCTAGACTCCAGGCCCCAGCCTCGGATTGTGCCTCTCCTGCTTGGCCAGCTGAGCAGGGGTTCCCCTTAAACTCCCCAACTAAGAGCACCAGACATACCCTGGTCATGACCTCCCTGTGGCCACAGCAAGGAAAGCAAGTTTTGTATATGTACCTGAACAGAGGCTTCCTTTTCTTCAGCACACAGGCATGTATGCCTTGGTCTCCAAGGGCATGAGGAGAATTGCAGAGGGCAAGGACCCCTTAGAGGGACAAAAGCACCGCTGTGGGATGGGGAACATGTTTGACTACCACAGCACAGGCTATGAGGACCTGGATGAACTACAGAGGACACCGCAGCCCCTCATCTTCATCATGGAGCTTTTCAAAGTGAGGCTGTGAGGGGAGAGGTGGCTGGGGGGGTGAGGGGGGAGGAGGGTAAAAGGTTTTGAGGGCAGTGATCGGGTGAAGCACAGCTCCTGGTCAATGCAGTAGTGCTCAAAATGGTCCAGACAGGTAGCTCCTCTGGGGCTGTGGGGGAGGGGGGCAGGGAAGGGCAAGCAACAGTGCTTATAAGGAGACTTGAGGAGCACTCAGGGTGAGTGCATGCAGGGTTATCCCTCCCCCTCCCCAGGTAGATGATCCTTCTGCCTACAAGCGAGACACATGGGCCATGAGCAAAGAGGAGAAGCTGGCAGCAGTGCCTGTGTTGCACAGCGAGGGCAACCGGCTCGTCCTGCACAAGAAGTACCATGAGGCAGCTGAGAAGTACCAGGAAGCTGTTATCTGCCTCCGGAACCTCCAAGCCAAGGTGAGCACCCACATGGTGACCAACACCTGCAGGGGGTGTAGCCCAGACAAGCCGGTAACACTTCCCTCCTCAGTTCCTCAACTGTGCTACCACCACCTGCACAGGTCATGCCTGTGGTGCAGAGCTGTGGTAACCACCAGCTTGTCTGTACCTGCAAGATGTCCTCCACAGGGCAGGGGAGCCAAGCAGTTGTTCTAAGCCAGAAAGATCTTAGTCAACCATTGCTTTGCACAGTGTGGTTGCTCCCTGAGTCTGGTACTTCTAGGCTTGTTTTAGGTCTTCCCTGGTACAAAATCCCATAAATAAAATAAGCAAATGGAAAGGGTGAGGTGGGTGATCAGGGCTCACTATGAGTGCTCCAGACTGGCCATTGAACCAGAGAGGTGCCTGAAGGGCATGCAAGTGGTAGGGTGTGGCTAGCAGAGGGTGTACTCAGGGTGTCTCACCCCATAGGAGCCAGTGGACTCCACTTACCAAACCTGTCTGTTCAGCTGCCTTGGAACATTGCTAGGATGCTCCCCAGCTATGTATGACACCTGCCTTGGAGAGCAGCACACCTTGACCTGCATGTTGCTGGCTTTGTGAGCAGGAGAAGCCCTGGGAGGAGGACTGGCTGAAGCTGCAGAATCTCATGACACCCCTCATGCTGAACTATTGCCAGTGCCAGCTGGAGCTGGGCGAGTACTATGAGGTCTTGGAGCACACTACCGAGATCCTTCAGAAAAACCACGGTAAGGGCAGTAGAGCAGGCCCCTCCACCTGCCTCCCAGACTCTAATCCCTTCAGTCCTGGCAAGAAGTGGCCTCTGTGCTGCTTCTGATCCCCAGGACCTAATTTTCTTTAACTGCTGCCTCAGATGCCACCTCCTACTCTGCCTCTTTCACTTAGGAAGCTTAGCATCCTCTGTTGAGCTTCTCCTGCCCACAAATTGCACTGCCTATGTGAGGTTTGGCCATAGAATTTAGTTGCAGCTGAAGCTCCTCTTGATGAGGGCAGTGGCAGAGCCAGCGATATAAGCTAACCTTCTACTGCAGAGCATCAGAGCCATTCCCAGGCTGGGGAGGAGCTTGCACTCTGGCTGAGAGATGGGGTAGGTCTCTCATCCACTGGTTTTCCCCTCTGAGAACTCTAGGTTGCAGCAAAAGGGAAAACACTTTACACCAGGCATGATTTAGACTGTGGCACTCATCACCAGACAGAAGCTCAGAGCTTAGGAGGATTTTAGAAATTCGACATGGACTATGAAAACATCTCATGCTTGGATATAAAGCCTTCATGGTCCAGTGCATGAATAAACCCCCCTGACTGATAGGGGCTCCTAAGAAGCTTCCCCACTCAGCAGGCCATGCTATAATTGTCCATGCTGCAGTTTCATGCACTTTCCTGTGAAGTGGCTAGTACTGGCCAAAGCTAGGATACTGGACCAGATGGAGCAGCTTCAGTTGATCTGCCTTTGCAGACTGGACACTGGACTCCTTTTGGGTGTCAGGGGACAAGAAGAGAGTAAAACTGTGGAGCAAGTGTGGGCTCCCATACCCTGCTGCTCTTGCTAGAGGAGTAAGCAGAGACTAAGTCTGCTTTTGCTTATCCATTTGGAAGGCTCAGAAGGGCTGTTGGGCTCCAGCAGGAGACCTGTATGGCCATCTTCTGTGGGCAGAGCTGCTGGATATGGGTCAGAGCCTGGGACAGCTGAACAGGAGGAGAGCTCACCTCAGTTTTTCTCCACTCTTATAGAAAATGCAAAGGCCTATTTCAAGCGTGCAAAGGCCCATGCTGCTGTCTGGAATGAAAAGGAGGCACGGAATGACTTCTTGCAGGCGGCTCAGCTGGATCCATCAATGGCAGCAGCTGCGAAAAAAGAGATGAAGATCTTGGGGGAAAGGATGAGGAAAAAACATGTTGAAGATCGCAAGAGATACCAGGGGCTCTTTCAGCAGCCTCAGCCTGAGGGAGCAGCAACAGGGGAGGAGCAGCAGGCAGGAGGTGGGGATGCTACAGCTGGTAGTGAGGAGGGAGGCAGAGGTTGGGAGAAGTCAGAGACAGGATTGGGAACAGAGTGCTTCAGAGCAGAGAGGAAAGAAGCTGACCAAGAGAATTCCAGGGAAGAGCTGAGGGTAGAAGCAGCAACACTTAAAGAGAACAGGCGGAGGGAAGGACCTGGTCAGGTGAGTTCTAGGGCAGAGATAATGGAGGAGGAAGAGGAACATGGAGAGAACAGACAGAGGGAAGAACCACACCAGGGGAATTCTGGGACTGCAGAAGTCCCTGGCCAGACCAGACAAAGGAAAGAACCAGATCAAGGGAACTCTGAGGTCCCAGATGAGACCAAAGACAGGGAAAAACAGGAGCAGGAGAATTCTGTGCCAGAGACAAGGATAGAAGAGGAAGGACAGGGGGACAGCTGGCAGAGGGAAGAAACAGAAAAGAGAAATACAGGGCTGGGTGAGTCAATGCCTGGGGAAGAGAACACCAAGATGCAAGAATTGGAGCAGGGCAATTCAGGGGCAGAAAAGGTGGGACTTGGGGAGGGGAACTTAGAAGGAAAGAAGAAAGTCCAAGGCCATGGGAGCTTCAAGGCCGACAGCGGAACTGAAGAGGCAGAACTTGGGGAAAAAAGCACTCCAAAGAAAGACCCAGACCTAGGCGGCAGTGGGGCAGGGGAGACAGGACATGGAGAAGGGACTGCAGAAACATGGATGGAAGGACCAGACCAGAGGGACTGTGGTCAAGAGAGTACGACAAGAGAGGAGGAGCTCAGAGAAGAGAGCACAAGAGGGGAAGAACCAGGGCAAGGCAGTTCTGGGACAGAGACAGGCCTTGAGGAAGGATCAGACCAAGGGAATTTTGGGGACAGTGGAAGTGTGGAAGATACAGGTGATGGAGAAGAAAACATAGCAGAGAAAGAAGAGCAGACAGAAGAAACAAAGCAAGGGAGCTGCAGCAAAGGCAGAGCAGGGGAAGGCCAAAGGAAGTGTGGGACAGAGAGAGAGGCTGCAGAGCCAAGCCCTGGAAAAGGTGGCTCTGGTGAGGGGCCTGTGGCAGAAAGCCAAGGAGGGAGCCCAGAGGTGGATGGAGAATGGGAAAGGAGAGCTGAAGGGCACTGCTGCTCCAACACAGCAGAGCAGAGCTTAGAGGAGAGGACATGGCAGGGGGGAGACCATGGCAGGAAACCTCAAGAAGACTGCTGAGAAGTATCAGACACTTCCTGGCCAACAAACTGGAATGAGGCCAGCACTGAAGGCACATGCTGCTCGTCAAGCAGGGGAAGATGGGTGGGTCAAGCGTCCTTCACCCTATGCAGGACAGAGTGAGCAGGGGATGGGTATAGCAGGATGGGCTGCACCATTTGGAGCTCCTCTGCCCTGAAAGAGCCTCTGGCCCCCAGGGCTAGGCTTCCTGAAAGATGACTGAGCTCTTTGGTGCCTGCCAGGTCCTTGGGGTACATGGTGCTTCCCTTCCTGTCAGGGCTTCACTGCCTGCTGAGATCAGAGTAATCACCACAGCCAGGCTGGCAGGAGCCAGTGCTATCAATGTCATCTCCTTCTCTCTACCTTCACAGTATGACAGATGCCTCCTGTTCCCCAAACTGTCTCTGTGCTCGCAGCCTGAGCCAGGCCTCCTTGCCCCATGCAGTCATCAGCCCTGGCTCCTCTGAAAGTCTTCTTCATGTTTCTGCTGTTGAGTTTGTTTCCTGAGAAATAAAGCACTTTTTTGGCAAGGCTCTGGCTGAACTCTTTCCTGGATGTTGCCAGCATCTTTGAGGCAGCAGTTACATATGTTCACAGGCTGGTCCTGCAGGCTGAGTGCTTGCAGGAAAGCTTTGCTGTCTATGCACAACTCCCAAGCAGGGTTCTCCTGTACATGGTGGCCCTGCATCTTTGCCCAGTATTCAGGCAATCCCCATCCTGTGGGATGTGCAGGCTGAAGTCCAAGGGCAGAACACAGAAAGAGTTACTTTGCTCTAACTATGAGCCTTTCCCTTCCCCATTGACTTAGGCTGCACTTTGCTCCTTGTTGATAGTGGGGAGAGGAGGTTTCAGGCACTCCAGAGGCCCAAGTGGATTCTCACCGGAGGCAATGGGTGGGCTGTCCAGATGGAGCAGGTGGAAGAAACTGAATGGGGCCCTGAAAAAAAAAATTCTTTGCTCTCGATTGCAGAGACCTGGCTTCAGTCTATAAACAAGGGAGGGAGGGTAAATCTGAGTGTTAAGGCTCCTAGACTCTCTCTGATTTTAGGGCCAGTCCTTTGCCTTAGTGTCTCAGTTTGCCCACTTGCATTTTTTAGACCTGGCCAAAGAACATCTGGAAAGCACTTTGTGCTTCCAGATGAACAAGCCTAGTGCTGTTAGAGTGAAGGAAAGGCAGTGGTAACCTGCTAGCTGAAAACAACCCTGGTAGAGAAGGTCACACCAGAAGAGTGACAGGGTGGGGAGTGTGGACATTTCTTAAGGCACCCAGTGGCTCCTGTTTGTTTGCCCATTTATGCTGTGACTGCACAGAAGAAAAGCTTTGCAAACAGGAGCATGTAACTTAAGACTGCAAAGGCCAGGTGACACTTTGTAAAATGAGCATTGACAGGAAGAGAACAAACACCAGTCTGATCTGAGCAGAGAAGGGATCTGGGAAGTGCCACCTCCTTCCTGCACTATGGCTTCCCCTAGTATGCTTGCAGCCTCCTGCCTGCTTGCTGATAATGACAGACTGGTCGCCGGACCAGCAGTGCTTGGGAAGAGGCTGGAGCATGCTGTGGGCTTACACTGACAGAACTGCTAATGAGGACCTTGCTGCAGAACCTTTAGTCCTGGTGATGGCGTGAGAACAGAAGCAGCAGCCTGCTCCATTTCCAAATACACCCTGGAATCTGCAAATGCTGATGGGGGGGCGGGGGAAAGATGCATGTTATCTGAGCAAATCTGATCTAGAGCTGGTTTGCAGACACCACCATGGGGAACCACAGAACAGGGTGGCCAGGCACATGCCAGGAAGGGGAGTCAGGAATGGACAACTCCACAGAGATATGCCCACAGGGGAGGGTCCTTCAGTACCTGCCACTTGGCAGAAGGAATCTCTGAGACAACCAGGGAAGCCCACAGCAACCCTCCTCAACAGGGAAGGGGAAGCCCAGAGAAATAAGAGGCCGAAGTACCAGCCAGGATATCAATAGAAATACAAATTTATTCTCTTTCCAGAGCAGAAATGGAGAGAAGCCAGTGAGGACAGAACCAAGCAAATGGTAACTCCAGTGTTAGCCACTTTGTTCCCCTCCCAGCTCCATCCCAGTGCAGTAACAGAAATCCTGACTTCGCTCATGCACAGCACAACTCTGCATGTGCTGGAGTGTCCCAGAGGAGGGCATAGCCAGTCTAGGTCAAACTTTTATGCAGGCACAGGACTTGTGCAGGGACAGAGATCTCTGATCCTCTACTGCTGCCCTTCCAGTAGAGGATAAGGGAAAGACTCTGAGGGGCAGAAGGAGGAAGCTCCAAACGGGCAGAAAATTGGAGTCTATCAACTTTAAACAGTGACTTTATAGCGAGTCCCCTGCTGTTACCTTTATCCAGCAGGAAGTTTGTATCAGGGCCTAGACTTGCACTCACAGCAAGGAGAAAACATTTGAAAGTGGGGAACCAAATACAGGTTTGGCAGGAGGGAATTAAGAGTCCCTGGATGACACAGGGCAGGTTTGAGGCAGCAGAATGCCCTGAGTGGGATGGATGGACGGCAGAGTGCAGGGAGTGCCTGGGGCCAAAGCAGCAAGTACCAGGTGGCAGTGCTTTAGTAAAGCCACAGGAAGCACTTCTGGGCAGGGCCTGCCAGTCCCTCACACCAGTTTTACTTCACTGTCTAGGCACCAGCTTGCTCAGTGGAAAAATAAATACTCACTCTGGAGCTCAGCTCCTGCATATGCCAGTGCTGTCTTATTTGGAGCTCTTGCTTGCACCCCAAGGAGGGGAGTCACAGTGGAAGCTGCTAACCCATTTTGGAGGTACTTTTGCCTTTCTTCCTTCTGCAGCTCCACACCAGGGCCACCTCCAGCCAGCATCGCATTCAGATCTGCCTTTCTCCTCTCAGAACAACAAATAGGCCTGTTAGCACTTTCCAACAAACAAACATCTCCCAGCCCAGCCAGCTCCCCACAACAGGGTGATTCCTACTCAGCAGGCCACTCAGCCTGGACCTCCACAGCTCGGAAAGCCAAAGGACCCTGTGGGGATCCCCATGTCCTGGTCTGCTTTCAGTGCTCTCGGGCTCTGAGCTTTGTGCTGTCCCAGCAGACAGAGCACAGGGGAGCAGCCCTGGTTCTGCACTTGCTTCTCTTGCCTAGTGCCCGAGCCAGGCAAAGGAGGCAACATGGAAAATGTCCTGCTCCATCCCTGTCTGGATGAAGCACAGCCTGTTTCTTCTGCAGGCACTGGTTGACTGGAGCTCTGTAACGGCACAACGCAGCTCCCCCAGTGAGCAGCAACTACTCGGTTCAGGGCTCCCAGGAGATACAGACCAACCAGCAGGGTGTGAGCACATCTCAGGCCTCTGGAAGTGCAGAGCTCAGAGGAGCATTCTTCACAGCCTGCAGCAGCATCTCCCCTGCCCAAGCTTTCTGCAGTGGTCCCAAGCAACCACCAGGCTGTCTCTGAAGCAAACTGTGGTCCTTGGCTACATGGAGGCATCCCCAGGCAAGAAGTGCTCTCGGGCTGCTGCTCAAAATGTTCTTGGCAGGGAACACATCTACACAGCCCTCCACAAATGCTTTTTTGTCATTCCTAACGCATGGTGCCTTTAACTCCCTGCCACAGTCATGTTAGCACACCACACAACCCTCTGAAGCTGGCCTAGTACAAGACAGTCCAGCACATGTTGCCACTCAATACACACCAAGAAGCCAAATATAAACATGCTACATCAAGGCCAATACCTGAATCCACCCCTCTGTAATATAAAACGTGCTACAGCAATCCTAACAACCTACAGTTCTTCCAGGGTGCAACATAGAAGAGCAAGCCACAGTGCTACTAATGGAGACCAAAAATCCACAGGACTGTCAGTGCACAATATCAGCACAAAGTCACTGCAACTCCACTGCACTACAAAAGGCCACGTACCACATAATCCACAACACACGGCACCAAACAAGACCCACAGCATTACACCTCTACTACACAACACATCAAACATAAGAGAACAAAGACCTTCCAACACACAGCACCCTACTTCAAAAGTGAACGTAACAGTGCCTTCAATGTACCACAGTAAAGGAAGTCTACTAGTCTGCACCATACTTTGGCAATCCTAATGTCATCTACAGCACCTTTGCTACACAACGGCAAACAGCAGCAAAAGCCAGAACTTTTCCAAACACAAGCCCAAGAGTCATGCAAGGTCTCCATGATCTACACGATTTTGGCCATGGAATTCTGTTAGAAATGCCTTGTGATGCAACTTTTTGGAGAAACAGCAGCCCTAACACAGCCTACATACAGCATTCTACCCTGGTCTTCACAAACCTTTCCATCAGGCTAAAACAATTCAATCTCATTGCTTCACAGCCTACAACCTCCATTAGAGCAATAAAGAAAGAACATTTCACTCCTTTCCCAACTTGTTCCCACTGCAAAATACTTCTCAGCACTTGAACTCCACCGCCTTCTCAGACATAACGCTTTTCCCTACACAAACAGCTTGCAGAACCTTCTAGATCCAAGAGCTTCCAAGGTATCCTTCTTGGATAACATACTGCTACACTACAAGACACCAGGGAATCTTGCATGCTTGCAAAACTTTTGCACTCCACCCTGGTACCAAATACTTCCCTCATTTAAGAAAGAGATCCCTGGATTATAGCAAATGATCTAAGGTTCCAAAGTCCAGTGACAGGAAGCAAGATTTTAGAAGTATGGTGGAGGTCATCAGAGTTCAGTTCCATCTCCTTTCTCTAAAATAACATCAAAATACACCTCACAGTATATAATGGATCGCCCAATGCCATGATGACCACAAGGGTTCAGTGGCACTTCTAGTTCTCCCATCTCTCCTTTAACCCCTGGCGGAAAAAAGGAGCTGTCAGTTGTAGATTCTTACCTATCAGCCAGAGAAGCAGAGGAGTCCTTGCCAGGTACAGTGGATGTGGAACTGCTAACAGACATAACAATACTAGAGAACAGCCAAAGGGCCAGAAATTTCAAATGCCAACAGGGAGATAAACACAAGGAACCTGCTGTCACATCCCTCAGCCTGATGGAAGCAGGGCTGCCTATTCCACTTAACCTCATTTCCCTCACGGAAGGGATAGGGGCCCCTTGCTGAACTATGAGGGGGAAGTTGTGGAACAGGCCTGCGTGTTACAGTAAGCAAACACAGCTCACAGAAGCAAGTCCTGGATCAACAGACCAGTGCCACTAGTCTGATGCCACAAGAGTTTCTGCTCCAGAGGCAGCACAACCTGGGCATCTTGACAGGGAGCTGGGAGAGTATGAGATGGTGCACAAGGTGCCTGTCCCCACAGAAGCAAATGTTGGTCTAGACCAAAACAGCAAGGCGCAAATTAACACTTCACAAGGTATTAGAATTTAATATGCAAGTGAGTCCATGATAGTATTTGAGTACAGAATATATATATATAAAATATATATATATATGCAAATTAAATGATAAGGTGCTCTATTATAAAGCTTCTCTTGAGATAAGGCTACTTAGCTGGGCTGAAGCTGTAATATTGACTCCTCCCCCCCCATCCCACCCCCCATTCTCCCCAGTGCTGTTCCCATTGGGGTGGTACCTCTGAAAGTAGTGGGAGACACTGGGGTACCGGGCCATTGGAGAGAGCTCAGTTCCTGAGACTGGCAGCTTTGCACGGTTAAAAACTGAGTTTTAAAAAAAGATCCTTTGTGGTCAATGAGTTTTCAGTGGCTGTGGGAGTGTCTGGAGACTGGTACCCCGCTGGAACTGGAAGCAGACCCACATAGCTGAAGGAGGTCAGGCAGGGTTGCGCTTTGCCATCTGCTGCAGGCATCATCCTTTCCTGACTCACAAGCAGGGTGAGAGTTTGTGACCAGTAAACAGAAGGAGCGGAGCCTATACACCACACTCAACACCATTTTAGTGTTGCATTCAGTCCCTGCTTTCCTCTGCCTCCTTTACAGAGTTCCTTAAATCCAGCGCCCAGAGCATTAGGTCAGGACTGGTTGACCCTCAGGACAGCTCCAAAGAGCCTGCAGTCACATTCCCATGTGGTCAATGAGTATTCCCCTGAGATCTTCTGAAGTTGGTGAGCATCATGGATGACTTTCCAGTGGGGTGCCCCAAGGAGAGTCCAAGTGAAGCCTGCCACAGGGAAGCGCGATGGCATGAGTAGGGAGAGGAGAGCAGCCAAGCAGCTGGTTAGACAAAGCCTCTTACTCGTGGGAGATGTTAGATAAGGGAGGTCATACCTGAAAGAAAAACCAACAGGTCATGTAAGATGAAACTGGGGAGCGACCTGGTTAGTGCTAGAATGCTAATTACCTATGCAGAAGGTACAGGTCAGGGTCAGGAGAGCCTTGGAGAAAGCATTTCTCATTACCACAGTGTAGTGTTCTTAACCTGAATGAGTTCCCTGCTCCCCCCTCAGCACAATGTCTTTTGTGGTGGGGCATGGAAGGAGGCTCACCTGAGGAAATGCAGACCCCTAACAAGCACATGGATAAGAGGAAGAGCCATGTCTACTCAGAGGATTACCAGATACATTGCCGCAAGCAGCAGCCTAGGATTAGATGCGTTAAGTGCCAACCCCTAGCAGAGGGCAAAGCAGGCGCTGTGAGAAGAGAGTAGGCCATTCAGATTAGCACTAGCTATCAAATATTCTCAGTGGAGCACAGGCTGTGGGAGCTTCTAAGACAGGGGTTCCCAAATTGTGGTATACGTACCCCTGGGGGTATGCAAGACATCTCTGGGGGGTACACAAGAGAAACTGTATAATGATGGATTTAATTTTCGTTCCAATTGGCATTTAAGGGATTAAAATATAAAACGTATCCTGGTAGGGGTATGTGGGCAGCTGGTAAACTTGGAAGGGGCTATGCAAAAAGAAAAAAAGTTTGGGAACCTCTGCTTTAAGAGACCTAGAGGAATTTTGTCAGCTAGGCTGAACCATCTAACCTAAAACCACTCAGGAAACAGAAGCACCGTGCTCTGGACTGGGATGGATAAAGGAGCTGATCAGGGAGACTAAGACACTGGGAGCCTGATGGGGTCATGCATGTTCATCTTCAAGAGACATGTAAGCCCAGCAGAGCATCAGTCTGTTCAGCATAGAAGGCTCCCTTGTCTGGCTGGATTCACCTAGGAGAGAGCTGAACTGGCTGCAATTCTCAGCAATTGTGGATCTCTTCCACAATCAGGGAGGATTCCTCCCTTGAGATCTATGGCACAGCAAGGAGTCTAAGCAGCACTTTGGCAGTCTGGCAGCAGCGTACAGCTGCAGGATTGGCTGGATTAGGGTTAGGGCTTCACATAAACCAAGCAAGATACTGAACGATGACACTCATCTCAGTGAGGAATATGAAGCCAGTGAAGGGGATTTCAGTCGACTACCTCGAGAATTGGGGAAAGCATTTCTTAGTTTCTCCATGATGTCCTCCAAACACACACTGACATCCTGCGTCTTGGGCTCTACCTCATCTGGGAGAAGGGGAGAGAAGGGAGAGCTGTAGTTAGCAGTGCTGTCCAGAGATCACAACCTGTACTGATACCAGCCAAGGTAATGCATCTACAGTGCAGGACAATGCAATCAAGAAACTGATGCCCTATTCATTTGATGAACTAGGCAGTGCAGGGCCAGTTGTAAAGCCACTGGTTGTAGAGCCCTGGAAAGTGCAGCTCTCTGTCTGATTGCAGAGCAGCATAGGTCTGACTACTGTAGCTCCTCATTACAGAGAATACACTCACAGGCCTCTCCTCCAGCAAAACAGCTCAGTCCCATGGACAAACAACCAATGTGTTCCATCAGACTGACCTAAGAGGCAGCCCAGACAGATAGCTGGGGGCTGTTAATTGGCACAAAAGGAACTCAGCCCAGTTCCAGGCCCTCACCTGCAGCTTCAGTGTCAGGGGTGTTGTGCTCCTTGTCCTTAAGCTGACTGCTCTCTGACTGGTGGGGAGAGGAAGCCAAGGAGGAGGCTGCAGAGCCATTGCCATCTGACTCTGCTGGCGGCTGGAAAGAGAAAGGAAACTTTATAAAAACCACCTCCTGGTCACATTCCTTCTTCCCTGGAACCTTCTGTCCCTACATTTGCAGTACCTGTCCTCATGTCAGGCTCCCCTCACCCCTGAAGACAACTACTTCTTTTCCTAACCCCTGATCATACCAAAGATGCTGATCTGAGACCTTCTCTGCATCCTCCCCAGGAAGGTACCTGCAGTAGCAGCTCCCTCAGACGGTGCAGCTGGGACTCCAGCTGCTTGTTGTGATCTTCCAGGATCTGCATTCTGGTCTCCAAACGGCTCTTGTGCTGCCGAAGGATCCTTGCCTCAGCCAGGAGCTCATCACTGTGTGGATCTTGGACTGATTCAGGAGATCCCTCTGCCAGGGTTGGAGACTCTGCTGCTTCTTCGTGCTGCCATTTCAAACGCCTCAGCTCTCCTTGGAGGATCCTGGGAAGAGAAAGACAAGATCATCCACCTGCTCCAGAAATAAAGCTGGAATCACAAAGTGGGCCCCCAGAAACACTTGTGTGCCTGGGCTTGACAACGCACTGAAGAGCAGAAATCCAGCCACAGGAGCCTTAGATGATCAGGTGCAGTTGAGGGCTTTGGTCTTTCCAAGTTCTCTGCCTTGCCCTGGTTCTACCCCAGTTTCAAGCAGTTTCCAGAAGGTGCACAAACACTTCAATAATGAACTAAAGCCTGAGGGAGAAGGAGGCTTCATCTTGGGTAAACAGTCTCTCTGTAAAGCCAGTTCTATCCACAGCAGAGGGTTCATTGCCATGTGGCCAACAGTAGCACTACCACAGCTCAAGAGAAGAAGCAGGCATGACAGCAAATCAGAGACACAAGAGATGGAAAAGGCCCTCAATGGTCAGCTCAGCTAGGGCCCTGTCCAGGGTAGGCACAAGTGTTCTGTTGGAAACCTTTTCCAGTTTGGATGCAAGTTTGGGGCTTGGGCGATGCAGTGCTGGACTTGGCTCCCCACCACTGGCCCCAGCCTTGGCCCTGTGCTCCGGGCACCCCAGCTCATTCACCCCATAGGGCATGTGGCCAGGAGGATAGGATGGGGCTGCAGGAGGACAAGAAGAGCCATCCAGGAGTGGGACGGGGAAGTGGGGCTGGGATCACAATGCAGTGACAGAGGGCCCAGGGCAAAGTCATGATCTACTGCCCACATGTTCCTGCAACGGGTGCTGGTTCCACAGGCAGGGGCCTGCAGGAAGCAAATCATGGCTCTGCCCAAGCCCCATGCTGTCATCACCCCAAGATCCCAGACTCAGGACTGCCTAGCAGTCGGGGCTTGGGAGCAGAGTGGGTGCACGTGTGCATCCAGCATGCGTGCACCCCCCACCTAAACGCAGTAGTGGCGGCTGATCCCACACAGGTAAGTGAGTAGGGTGAAGGGAGCCAGCACAGCTGCAGAGGATCTGGAAGGGGAGCCCCCCAGATCCCTCAAGTGAGCCAGTAAGAAGCCACACTCCTGAGCCACGCACAGGCAGCGCACGCAAACAGGCATGCTCTGAAGTGTTCGTGCAAGGCGGGCGTGCAGCAGTAACCAAGAAGGAGTCTCCAGCAAGAGAGATAAGATGACTCACAGCTCCACAGACATGGTACGGATGCAGGGAGCGGCTGCTAGGGACCCCACCCCAGTGGTGCCACCTACCCTGGGCTCTATTGAGGCCTCCACCCAGACAGAGCCCCTGGTGAGGTCAGCAGCCTCCTGCCCCCCTGTCTGTGGAGGCTGCCTGGTGGGGACCCGGAGGCTGTGGGTGGGAGAGGGGTCTGGAAGCCCCCTTGCCTGTCCCTCTTGTGCCCAACTTTGGGCCCTGGAGGAGCAGGTGAGGGAACTCCAGGCTGAGGTGAGCAGGCTATGGGGGACCAGGGCTGCGGAGGACAAAATTGACATGTATTTCCATTCTCTGCAGGATCAGTTTTCTAGTGGACAGACCTCCCAGGAGAGATGCACAGCAGAGGAATGGCAGAAGGTGCCCACCAGAACCAGGGCCTCTTGGGCTAGCGTGGTGGTGGCTCCCCAAGTACAACTGGGGAACAGATACGAGGCCCTGGCAGCCTTAGAGGAGAAGGTTGAAGTAGATGCCTCTGGGGGCCAAGATGCCACTCTACGCACGGCACGGTCTGAACAAGGACAGAACACTACGAGGAAGAAACATCGGGTCCTTGTCATCGGGGATTCCATCCTGAGGGGAATGGAGGGTCCCACCTGCCAACCTGACCCCATGGCATGTGAGGTCTGCTGCCTGCCTGGGGCTCGGATTCAGGATATTACAGAGATGATCCCGGACCTCATTCGACCCTCTGACCAGAACCCCATGGTCCTAATCCATGCGGGAATGAATGACGCAGCTGGGAGCAGGCCAGACCGCATCATGAAGGGCTACAAGGCCCTGGGGACCAAGCTCAAGGAGACTGGAGCGCAGGTGGTATTCTCCTCTATTCTCCCAGTAAGTAGATGTGGACGGTGCCATGAGGCCTGCATCGGAGTGGTCAACTGGCGGCTTTGGAGTTGGTGCTACCAGGCAGGCCTTGAGTTGCTTGACGACAACCTGCATTTTCGCGCAGGGGGCGTGCTCGGGTGGGATGGGCTTCACTTCTCCCCTAAAGGCAAGCGTGTCATTTTTTCCAGGTTGGCTGATCTTGTATGGCGTGCTTTAAACTAGCTTTGCCAGGGGGATGGGGCCACAGGGGGACATGAGGACACTTTCCAGCCAAGACAGGTGACGAGCACAAGAAGTACCCAGGCAAGTGACAGGGGTCCAGATAGTCCTAGGATCAAGGGGGGGGGGGCATGCACCCATAGGAGGCCTTAACTGCCTCTATACTAATGCTCATAGTATGGCGAACAGGCAGGAGGAACTTGCCCTCCTGCTAGCTAACACAAACCCAGACATAGTGAGGCTCACTGAAACCTGGTGGGATTCAACCCATGATTGGGCGGTAAACATTAAAGGCTACAGACTGTACAGGCGGGATAGAACTGGGATGGAAAGGCAGGGGCATGGCGCTCTACGTCAAAGAGTAATATACATCCTCAACTAACAGGACGGGGTCAAATGAGGGGCAAACTGAAGTGCTCTGGGTAAGAATACAGCGGGGGTTGAGGGGGAAGGGACTTAACTGTGGGGGTCTACTACAGACCACCCAACCAGGGAGAATTCTCAGGTCAGCTTGCAGATACAGTTAAGTCAAGGGATGTGGTCATCATGGGTGACCTAAACTATCCAGACATTTGCTGGGAAGAGCAGTCAGCCAGGTCTGATCACTCACATAGGTTCCTAGCCGAGATACAGGACCTCCATCTAACCCAGGAGGTGCGCAGCCCCACCAGGGGAAATGCCTTGCTGGACCTGGTCCTGGCCACAGGCAACGACCTGGTGAGGGGACTGCAGGTTTTCAACCACCTGGGTGACAGCGATCATCACCTACTGGAATTCACTACCCAGAGCAGGGTGTCAAAGGCCTGTAGCAAGGCAGTAGCCCTTGAGTTCAGGAGGGCCAATTTCAGTGAGTTAAGGAGATTAGTCAAAGAGGCACTGGAGTCCCA